CAGCATTTCATGGTAAATTATCATCTGTTTGAGACAACAAACAATTCGATAAATTATGCAAATTACTCAACAGTTGGGCATAACAAACATGGATGAAAATTAAAACAGCGCGCGCTTCATGACGATACTTTTATGCATTGCTCCCACCATGGTCTCAATGCGCAATTTCCTCGCTTAGCGCTCTATATGATACTGCGCAAATAATGTACCTCAATTTCCGGAAGTCATTCGCCTAACTTCTAGAGTAAACACGAACCTCAGAACGGTCGATTGATTGGGCCGTGATGACTGAGACTGACATAACTCCCACTCACTATGTTGACTCCTACTCATATAAAACCATAGCAGCAAATCCGAATTGAAGGATTTACAGTCACCACCCGTGCTACTCTTGAAAAGGGAAGAAGAAAGAGAAATTTATTCCACAGACAAAGAGGTCGTCAACACATATCAGTACTTCCGTATAATCCAATTCATGATGTAATAATGAAAGAAATCAACTCCTGGGACGTTGCCATAGCCAAATTGGATAGTCCGATCCTTCTGATTCCTTAAAGTGCTGGAACGGAAGATAGTGCTGACCTGATGTTAACCTCAGTGCGCGCTCGAATGTCGTTGACCCTGTTGCATGTATGAATGCAAGGAGAGTACTCGGTTAAACTTCATGCTTAAGATATAGTTGTCATCTGTCAGTCGCCACCCACAAACAACACGCTACAGATGAGGCCGGTCTATGACGATTACGCCCAGGCCGTTTGGGTGCGGTGCCGATCGAAAGTGCTTATGAACATGCAGTCTTATGGTGGGCGTTTGGAATCTACATAGTTGGGTTGTGGTCATCTAGATCAACTGTAATATCCAACCCACCATGTCACCTATCCATGAGAAGCTCTATGTGTGCACAATGTGAAACTTCTGTTAAACTAATAAATTTCAAAAATTTTCATCTTCATCTTCCATCGCCGCTTTTCCTTTCGAGTTACGGAGGCAGACGCGTCAGACAGTGCTTCCAACGTTCCCGATCCTGTGCCAGAGTCTGAGCTTCGGCAAAAAGACAAATGCGTCTGGAACAGATTCCTTCCATATGTTTGCACCAGGTTAATCTTGGCCGTCCCCTGGGCCTCCGGAGCCTGGAACAGATTCCTTCCATACGTTTGCACCAGGTTAATCTTGGCCGTCCCCTGGGCCTTTTGCCGCTGGAGTCTGGAACAGACTCCTTCCATATGTTTGCACCAGGTTAATCTTGCCCGTCCGCAGGGCCTTTTGCCGGTCGGATTTGCAAAGAACAGTTGCTTAGCCTTCCTTTCTGGAGGCGTTCGCAACACACTGCCAAACCATCGCAGCTGTGACTTCTCAATCTGGAGAAGCAAAGGCTGTACACCAGAGCTCTGACCGATGTCAGTGTTCCGGACCAAAATTTCAAAAATTTCGCGTTTTATTTTATGACTCTATTTCTTTGCTTGCGAGAACTCATTAATATGCAACATGATAATATAAGTAACAAGGACCATGACAGACGCTTAGTATTGTACTCACTGAAAGATATTCATTAATATGTAAATAATGAA